AAAACCTAACTCATAGACACAAAGAACAGATTGGTGGTTACCAGAGTTGGGGGATGAGGGAGAGGACAAAATGCATGAATGCAGTCAAAAGGTAAAAATTCCAGTTATAAATTAAATAAGTCCTGGGAATGTAATGTACAGCATGCTGTCTGTAGTTAATAATATTGCATTTATTGCATATTTGAAAGTTGCTAAGAGTAAATCTTTAAAATCCTCATCATAACAAAAAAATTTTTAAACAGTGTGATGGATGTTAGCTAGACTTCTTATGGTATCATTGCACAGTATATACACATATTGAATTATTATGTTGTACACCTGAAGCTAATACATTATATGTCAATTATATCTCAATTTAAGAATAATAATGAAAGAAAAAAATGCTTTTTAATTCACATCTAACTTTCTGCGTTCATTTTCAAGTAGGTTAAAAAGAGGAGAGAGGTAATCAATCAGCGAATGTTCTCCCAACCCCAACATTGCATTTTGATTAGTTTTGCCCCTAGTAACAAGGCTTAAATCTAATTCTCAGAATTGGGCATTATTTCAGTGTTGGACAGATGGGGTAATTTGATATGCCAATTTTGTGGTCCTAAAGCTAGTAAAATGCCATCACCCTACTGTGAATAATCTTAAGAACTGTGGGTAGTGTTGAAACTTGGGGTGGTACTTAGTTGACTCCAAGTTATAGAAATGAGCAAACCATAGTCTGAAAATAAATTTTGGCATAGAATGTACGATGTTGTGCTATTTTATTGGACTTTAACATAAGGTTGATGTAAATAAGATTTAAATAAGGTTGAAACCTCTTAGTAATAGAATAGAAAAAAATGTTTTCATTATTTTTAAGAAGAATTTTTATCTATAATGAATTTTCATGAGGAGGTGTTTTTGAGTATAACGCCCACCTATTTCTTCCATGGTTTATGACATGCACTGCTTGAGAAGAACTAGCCAATGATACAAAGTTATACAAGTGATAGTTAATTTGAATTCAGTGATTTTTTTTATCTAAGGTCTATAAGGCCAGATATAAAATAGTCATTAATGATCTTCAAGAGGTTCTCATGCTTTCTCTTTGGGATTATTGTCATGGGTCAAAATGGTATTCTGTAATTTATACTGATTTCCTGGAAAGCCGTATTCTAGATGTACGTGTGTCACCTATCTCTAGGGATTATCTGGGAATAGAATTAGGGAACTCTAGTGTGCGCTAAAAGAGTTCCTTGAGAGAAAAGAGACATGTAGCCTCCTTTTCTCTTATCGAGCCTTTCTATTTCTCAAGTAAACACTAATCAAAATAAAACATTTCAGAAATTTGGTGGTATATTCTACAAAAATAATTAAAATGCCAAAAATTTAATAAAGATCTTTTGTTTGCACTAAACAATGATGACATAGTGCCTGTTCACAAATGGCTTGGGCAACTATGGTGCCAAAGAGCAGTTGGGGTCTTCTGGCTGGAGAATCCTTGGGTGCTCATCTTTCAGTTGCACTAGTCTAAGGTCTGTGCCCAGTACTGTGTACCCCAAATCCTAGTCTAGTGTTTGGCACAATGAAAGAAATCAATAAATACCCAGGCACACAGACACACAGACTTATTTGTTTGTTTATTTCCATCCAGATTCCAGATTCTTTTCTATATTATACTTAAAGAAGCTGGAAATCAACACACACACACACAAACACATACACTCACTATTTATTTATTTTCATCCAGATTCTTTTCTACATATATCAAAGAACTCAGAAATCAATACACACACACACACACATTTATTTATTTATTTGGATCTAGATTCTTTTCTATATATTTAAAGAAGCTAGAAATCAATAAATATACAGACACATAGAGACACAGACATGAATTTAATTAATTAATTTTCATTGAGATTCTTTTCTATATATACTCAAGGAGCCTGTAAGTCAATTAATATACAGACACAGGGGTGCCTGGGTGGTGCAATCAGTTAGGTGACCGACTCTTTTTTTCAGCTCAGGTCATGATCTCGGGGTGGTGAGATCAAGTCCCTGGCTGCGCTCTGTGCTCAGCATGGAATTTGCTGAAGACTCTCTCTCCCTCTCCCTATGCCCCTCCTCCAGCTCTCTATCTCTCTTTTAAATAAATAAATCTTAAAAGAATATATACAGACATAGACACACACACACCACTTTATTTCCATCCCCATTCTTTTCTATATATATTTAAAGAAGCCAGAGATCAATAAATATACAGACACACACACACGCTTTATTTATTTATTTTCATATTCCTGTCTGTATATAAAGAAGCCAGAAATCAATAAATATACAGACATACAGACACACATGCATTTATTTATTTATTTCCAGATACTTTTCTGTGTATATTTAGAGAAACCAGACACACACACACACACATTTATTTATTTAGCTAATTAATTTCCAGATACTTTTCTATATATATTTAAGGAAGTCAGAAATCAATAAATATTCAGATACACACACACACACAAACACACACACATTTATTTATTTACTTCCACTTAGATTCTTTTTTACATATATTTAAAGAAGCTGGAAATCAATAAATTTATGGACACACACACACAGACATCTCTTTCTTTCTTTCCAACCAGATTTTTTTCTATGTATATTCAAACAAGATGGAAAAGAAGTTAATGGTGGGGGTTGGGTATGGGTATTTATTTCTTCAATAAAATATTAGGTGCTTGAATAATAACTTATATCACATATTTTATAGGTATGTACCAAATATTTTCTCATTGTGTTGTGCACATTATTTATGAATTCAAAACCATTCATCTTAGTTTTGATTATTATTCCATGAATAATTTTATCTTTCCCCACCATTAAGCTCTTCTCCCTTCTCGTATTCTTGATTTATCTGGAATTTGTTGGTGTATTTTTTGATGTATGGGTCAAAAGTGATTCTTCTTCACACTCTGATTACTTTTATGTGTTTTTTTTAAAGTTGTGTATTTTCCCATTGTTGTGTAACTTTTTTTTTTTTTTTTAAAGATTTTATTTATTTATTTGAGACAGAGAGAATGAGAGACAGAGAGCATGAGAGGGAGGAGGGTCAGAGGGAGAAGCAGACTCCCTGCCGAGCAGGGAGCCCGATGCGGGACTCGATCCCGGGACTCCAGGATCATGACCTGAGCCGAAGGCAGTCGCTTAACCAACTGAGCCACCCAGGCGCCCAGTGTGTAACTTATTTTGTATTACTAATATAACTTATTCAAGAAAGGTAAGAGTTTCCAATCAGTGAAACATAGATCTCTCTCAGGATTGACCAGAGTACCTGGGTGGCTCAGTTAAGTGTCTGCCTCTTGACTTTAGCTCAGGTCATGACCTCAGAGTCATGATCTCAGGGTCATGAGATTGAGCCCTGCAGCAGGCTCCATGCTGGGCGTGGAGCCTGCTTAAGATTCTCTCTCTCTCTTCTCCTCCCCTCCCCCTCACACCGCCCCTGCCCACTCATACTCTCTCTCTCTAAAAAAAAAAAAGATTGACCAACAAAAGTATATTTATGAAAATAAAGTATATTTATGTGTTTTAAGTTAAATAGTGTGGTCTTCATTTTAAACAATTGTTTTGGTTAATTATTGGCCTCAACTATGCTGGATAAGAGGGATTCTTTATGTAATTCGTATAGCTACAAAACAGACCTTGTTGATACCTCTCTAAACTTCTTTTGTAAAACTGTTCATGGATTTCAACAAATATTGCCATTGCTGTACAAAATAAGTTTAATGTTCTAGACTAGACTTGTGATCCAGTTGCATAATCTAATTTAATACAATCTTGAGGCTCAGCACATTTTTGTTTCCCCTAAGCTTTGTTTAATCATGTGGTTTATGGAGAGAGGTGGGGGTCAGGATGGGGAGGAGCCTAGGTGTCGCAAAACAAGGATGAATAGGATATTTCCATTTTCTTTCAAAGTGATTTGATTGATAGCTTTCCGCCATATTAATTTATAAGTAACTCTCCAGGCAGGCATTTGATAGGCATTTTGTTGTGCCCCCAGTCCCAATTTCCCCAATTCCACCCACCACTCTGTACACCTGTGGAAGTCTGTGTACTCTGGGCTGAATGGACAACTAGCCAGGGTAGCCTGATTCCAAGGAGAGACAGTTTTTAATTGTGTGTTTTCATCATTAGCTCCAGCTCCTTCCATTTAGTCACCATCTTCCTAGCACCCTTCCCAACAAACTATCGTGTTTATGTGACCACCACGTCATATGAACCCAGCAACTCTTTGAAACTGGCACATTAAAGTCCCTCTATCAAGTTTTCTATATGCAACCTATTACAACTCTGATGTCATTACGTTTTGAAATATGATAGGATAAGTGTCTCATGGACCCCACTTGTCACTTTTCCTTACATAACTTTCATGATGACTCTTTTAGTGTTAATTGGTATTTTAAAAATCCACATGCTCATTTCTGGCATATCACCATCTTACTTCATTAGTATGTCTTCCTTTCAGTCCTTACTAATGATTTGATAATTTTTCTATTAATAAATATCAAGTATTCCATGAAGGATTGATATTAAACAGAGTTTTTTTATTATGTCAATAGAACCACTATTAATTATGTGGCTTTATTTTATATGTTAAAGTTTTGCATCTTAAAGATTTTATATTGTATCAATAGAATATTAATTGTGTTGCTTTATTTTTATTTTATATGTAAAGTTTTGAAGCCAGGAGTAATTTAGTTGATTTCCTGAAGTATTCTGGATAATGGATACTGGGTTGTTTGATTGATGTGTTTATACCACCCCCCACTTCCAAACTTACCCCCACCCTCCCTCTAGACTCCTAGAACCTCCCCACTGCTCCACCTCTATTACTCCACCTTCCCTTCTCCCTTCCTCCCCTACTCTCCCCACTGTCCCATCCCTATTGCTCCCCGCCTTCGCTTCCTCCCCTAACCCTGTGCCTTTGATGTTGGTGGATGACGCTGAAATGATCAGGACACCGTTTGCACTTAACCACTAAATCTTTATTAATTGAATTTTTATTATAACATCAATACAATATTAGTAAGTAGAAATACAGCAATAAAATGGGGAAGGGTAGGGAGGTGGTAGGGGTAGGGAGAAAAGGCAGGGGTAGGTAGGAGGGCCACTGACAGGCTTCTTCTTCATCACTTTTCTGTAACTTCCATGAATATTTACCATCCTTAATTATCAATTTCATTCCAGCAAGAATTTCTCAAAGAGTATCTACTCATCTTATAACTCTCCAAAGGCTTTGCTCACAATCTGGATCCCTGGAGTTAATACCCAGGGCAAAGTTAAATTATTTATCCAATCACCTTTGAACTTTTTCCCACTAGAGTTTTATCCATGTCCAATTTGCCCTAAATAGGCTGATCTCCCTGCAGTTCCCTCTGAGTTTATTTGAAATCTTTAAGGGTAGCAATCATAGGGTAAAGGATCACAAGTAAGTACACATGTCCACTTATAGAGTTATCTAATACATAATATCATGCTAACTTTTAAACTAACCCCACCCACTTAAGATTACTTAATAGTCCCTCCCACCCTAAAATACTTATGATTATGTATATCCCCTATTACTTAAACTGATAACATAAAGAAATAAAAAACAATGCAACTTCCACAGACCAATTCCATCAATCACATTCTATAATCTGAAACAACAAAGAACTTTCAGTCCCACTGGATGTTCATTCTTCCGATGAAAATGCAGCATGGTTCCCACCCAGCTCTTCGTCTCGGCAGGTGGTCCTTCATTTCTGCCCAGGTCTTTCCAGCAGAGTGTTCTCTGTTGCCAATCTTGGAACTGTATCTGACATTCGACGTCTGTGGTAGATGACAAGCAGATCAATTCAGGAGCCCAAGAGGTACTTGCAAACTTAAACACAAATCCAGACTGCACTATATAGATGTGCCCCTCTTTATTTTATGCACCTGCAAGTTCCTTATGTCACCTCACCTGATTGAATCAAACTAATTCGCCATTTTCCAGCATCGAGTGCAAATACCTCATTGCTCAAACTAAATTGACCCTTCAGAAATGTATGTAAACTTCCTCCATTTCAAGATCTTAGCACGATGACCTTCACTAGTTCTCTCCAGGTTTGCCTAACAATGGGAGCTCCTATCTTCTTCTTCCTTGATTTAATTAACACCGACAATTTGGGTCAAAAGTTATCAAATTTGCCAATTTGTTTCAAAAAAAGGTTGACTATTGGCTTTAATAATTCTGATGTTTTGTTGTATGTCCTTTATGCTTTATTTTGCTCCCTTTCTAACTCCCTTAGAGATTTAATTTCTTTGCTCTTTCCTTTCTTATGAATAAAGGCATTTTGTGGGAAAAATGCCCCAAAAAACTTAAAGTATCCAATACACATAATCAACAGTAACAAAATAAACTCAGTGAAAGGAAACTTATTAAATTCTGATACTACAGAATAAATTGGAAATTACTTATCCTTAACACCTACATTTATAGATAGTATATATAGCAATAAAGCATAGAACACACTGCAACCAGTTTTTCACAAGCTTTACTAAACAGCCAAATGTGCGTCAGGGTCTTCATCCATGCGTTGCTGACCCATACCACCATGCTTTCCCTGACCGCTGCTGTCGTTGGCCAACATCTCCAGACTTCTGCTTGCAGTGATAGCGAATGTCCGTGTGCTCATGCCGGGGCTGCAGACGATGACCTACTTCTAGGCCCTCTGCAGCCTGAAGATCAAGTGACAACTGTAAATTTGACACAAAACAACTTGAATTCAAATGTATGGATGATGGGTTGATCTGAGGTAAACAGAAGTGACGCTTCAAAATAGTTCAGAAGCACAAACGCACCATTTTAAAGGTAATTACTCTAAAACACATGAGTGACTGACAAGCTTTCGGTTCCATTGAAGAAAATAAAAGGGGGAGGGGGGAGAGTTATTTGGAATTAAATAGCCAATTAGGTATCTTTTTTGAATTTGTAGGTCTTTTTGTGTGATTTTTAAAAGGCCCAATTGATAAAACTGAAGTCCTATATGACGTTAAACTAGCAGATTGAAGATGAATGGCATGAACTACTATAGAAATACTCCAGTTCTGAGGAGCCTCTCATTCACAGTGTTGTAAGAGAAGTTCACAGTAAAGAAATATGTTGTACTATGTTACTTATCAATTTTAATTAGTTTAACAGTAAGAATTGGATAGTACTTCGGAATTCAATGGAAATAACTCCTGAAAGCAGTCACCACTTTAAAACACTGTTAAAAGACACTAGTCACCTACAGCTAAAACTTTTAACTATTTAAACATGCAAGAATAAGGGTGGGTGATAATGAATGGGTGAAAGAGGATGTGGATAAAAAATGAAACTTCACCGTTAAGACTCCTCTTCATGACACACAATTTGAAATCTATACCATGTTGTCTACTGCTCAAACCGTGTTTTGGCAATTGGAGGTTGTGTACTGAAACACAAGCCTCTTGAAGCCTGCCTCTTTCTTCTCCATGCGTGGCAGCAAAATGGAGTCTCAGCAGCCAGGCAGGAAAGATGACACAAATCCTGCAGCAGGGTTAATGGCAGTAGTAAAGAATTAAACAGAAAGAGAGAGATTAGACAGAGAGTTCAAGGTAGTAGCAAAAGACCAGGCTAAAGAAGTCAGGCAGTCCCAGGTTAGCACAAAGCATCCAGGAGACTAGATGTCGTCACTGGATTGAAGACAACGCTTGTGTTGTCTGTCGCTTTGAGTCATCTGAGTTGCTTTGAGGCCTTTCATTCTTGGCAGCTTCTTTTCGTCTCCGTCCTCTAGAGGGGACCCCTTTCCACTGTGTGAACTCTGATCCTTTTAAAGTGAGGTTACCCATCAGGCCACCCTCTGGATTTAAAGCTCATTAAAGAAGTCCATATCTTCAGGACAGTGTCCAGTGCCCCAATTCCTCTTCTTTAAAGATATCCCTCGCAGGCATAGGAGTGTGGGTCTGGGTGCTAAATTCATGTCCCCTCTCTAAGCATCCTCATGCTACAGTCTAGTGAGGGGACTGATGATGAAATGCCCAGATGCATATGGAGGCAGACACATGGAGAGATGCTTCCAACACTTTAGGTGATCCTCTTCCAGCCAATTAACAACACTTCTGAAATTTCTTCTGAATACCAGGACACGTTGGTAACATTAACTCAGAGTCTCTTAAGAGCTGGGTACAGGACTGCAAGGTAGTCATGCCTCATAAACATCTAACACACCTGGAGCCACCAACAGTCTCTGGTTACCAGGTTTAACATTTTGTGGAAGCCATTACTGGCATGATGATGGTAAGGTGTTGTGAGAAAGCCAGAGTTCTTGGGTACATGTGATTTGCACCAGGGTGTGAAGGCACACTCAACATGCAAGAGTCCCTTCTGAGAGAGCACTTCCTTCTGAGGCCTGAGGTGTTTCTGTTGCAGGGGTTTTGCCTGCTCCTGGGAGAACCGGTCCAGTTGCTGCTCCTTGAGAATTAACGGAACCATGAACGCGGAATTTGAAGATGGTGAAGTTTCTAAGGGTGCAGCAAAAAGATCACGGAAGCCGTTTTACACTGCACCAACAATTCTGGCTTCCTTAATAAGGCGTCGGTCCTCCAGTGATGTAAAGAGAGTACCGAGACTGCAAGAAAAGTCATGTCGTCCTCCTTCGTGTCTCCCCCTCCATAAAGAAATCAGCATTTCCTGTGTTTGCATCAGCTTCTCTGTAAGTGTTAAACGTGGAATCTGGCAGCCTATTAATTTAAATGGTGACAGAGGTTTCTAGCAGGTAAAACCCAGGCTTCCAGGATTCGCTGGGAAGTAAACTTGTCACGAATTTTAGTTAAATTGGCAGTTAAAGTGGGAAACTGAGAATTTGTTGGTAAGTATTCTGTCGCTCTCAGAAAATGGCAGAGGTCTTCTGGTGCTTTTTTAGGCTGTGCGCCAGTCCAGGGTGGCCCTGACCTTTCCGTAGCCGTTTCAGAGAGGGCTGTGCCTCAGGTTGGCCTGAAGATGCAGTAGCCTAATTTAGCACACAGTCACTGACTGAGAAGCTCAACAGGAGTAAATCTGAGGGTAGAGATCCTGAAGGACACGACGAGTGTTTACATGGTGCTGTAAGATGGCGGCGGCGGCGGCGGCGGAGGCGGCGGCGGCGGCTGCGGTGGCGGATACTGGGGTACCGGAGGCTGGCGGTACCAATGCGGATTCCAAGTGATCATCACGGGGACATAGAGCGATCGTCCATGTCCATCTCGCCCCACGGGGTACCAGGCGAATCCTACTGGGTAGGTCGGGTACGTGGCGTATGTGGGGTACGTCTGGTATCCAGGTATTGGAGGTACGTATTCAGTGTACGTTGCCAGGTGAGCCTGGTCATCCAAATTTGGAATGGAGAGTCGAGGATACTGATTCTGGATGGTGAAACTGTTGGGAGCTCGGCAGTCGTAGGAAACTTGCAGTTTCCACCCCCTCTTCACCTGGAGAACTTGGGCTCCATTCGGGGCGATTGTTGGAGTAATCAGCCCGTCTTTCACGTTTCTGGCCACAAAATCTCGCAGGGCTGCCATTTCGGGTTCGGACAGTGAGTAGACGTGTCCGCTGGGAATACTGTGCGCTCCAGGTATCATTTCGATGGTGGGGTCAACCAGGCGGTGATCCGGGTAGACGTTTTCATCCACTGGAGTGTACACATTCTGGACATAGTAATACCTCACCGGTTGGTAAACTCTGTATCCATCCACCGGGTAGTAAAACGATGGCTGTGCTGGTGGTGGGAGCGACGGAGGTATTGGAGAATACATCCGGCAGTGGTATCGGCAATATTCAGAATCAAAGACGATCGATCGGGTGCTCCATGTGATGTTGGGGTCGTGTGTGCTTAGCCAGCGCACCCCTAGGACGACAGGGAAGAACGGAGACTGAGTCACATCGAAAGACAGCACCTCACGGTGATCTCCCAGGTCGACTATCAGGTCGTGCGTTTCGTGGACAACTGGGCCCGATGCTATGGGGCGTCCATCAATTGCTTCTACCAGTATTGGCCAGTCCTTGACCCTCAGAGGAATTCCATTTTGGGCAACGTATTCGTGATCGATGAAGTTGCCAGAAGCACCAGAATCGATCATGGCTCGGACGAACAGGGTGTGTCTGCCCGGGAGATGAATCTGGAGCATCACTTGCAAGTGTGGAGATGAAGCATCATCTTGTGGGGACCTTATTATTTCTGGCCCGGTCGCTGAAGGTCCCTCTACAGCGGGGCCGGGGAGTTTCCCGCCGGTGAAGCCTTTGAGGCCTTGGCAGGACAGTTGTCGGCGTAGTGACCTCCATTTCCGCAGTAGAGGCAGAGGTTCAGCTTTCTGCGTCTTTCTTTTTCTTCCTGGGTCAGGCGCATGCGGGCGCCGCCCACAGGCTCGGTTGGATCTACCTGGTGGTGGCTCGTGATGTGCGGCAACACGAGCGCGCGCGGCGGGGAACGCGGCTTGCGAGCTGCGGCCGCTCTGGCCAGCCTTCTCTCGATGTGGATGCATTGGCCGATCAGCGCCGACAGCGACTTGGCCACTTCGAGGCGCGACAGCTCTGCCTGAATGTGGTCGCTGAGGCCCTCGTGGTACTGGTCAATCAGGGCGGGCTCGTTCCAATCCAGGTCCTGGGCAATCATCTGGAAGGCGTTGGAGTAGTCGATGACTGACCCCATGCCTTGGCGCAGACGTCTGATCTTGCGTTTGGCGGCCTCTCGCCTCTGAGGGTCTTCAAACACGTGCTTCATTTCAGTCATGAAGGCTGGGTAGTTGTGCATCAGGTAGTGGGATCGCTCCAGCTTCGCAGAGGCCCAGCGCGCGGCACGGCCGGTCATCATGCTTGTCACGAAGCAGACGCGGACGCGATCGACTGAGAAATCTCTGGTGCTCTTTTCCATGAAGAGCTGGCACTGAGCCATGAAAGGAACCAGCATGTCTGGGTTGCCGTCAAACTTCTCGGGAAGGTCATCTGGGCACTCTTCCTCTAACGGAGTGGGTGGGGCAGCAGCCGCCGCAGCACCTCGGAGCTCGATGTCATCCTCCTCATCCTGAGGGGCAGGCTCCACTTGCTCACGAAGGGAGGTGTTCTCCTCTGTGAGCTTCTGCACCTGGTTCTGCAGGTTGTTGTTCTCCTCGGACTGCTTCATGACCTTCTCTCTGAGGTTGTTGATCTCTTCAGAGAGATCGTCCCGCCTTCGTTCGGCCAGGTTGGGAATGTACTGGCCCCTTTGGGCGCTGCGTGAGGATGAAGAAGAGGAAGAGGAGGAGGAGCAAGAGGAAGAGGAGGAGGAGGGGCCGTTGGGGGGAGGAGGAGGAGGAGGAGGTGGGCAGTCGGGCCCCAGGGTGAGAGCTGGGGTGGGAGGAGACCTCCCAGGTGTAGCTTCGCTCCTGTGGGGATGGAGGCCCGGATCCTGGCCTCCTCTTCCACCCTTTCTTCTTTTTGTTTTCAAAAGCTTTTTGTTTCTGGAAATTAAGATAAAAGCATAAATTTTAACATACACATTCAAAGCAGCACATTATAAAAAAGACTTTAGCATTTAAAGTAGCCACTAAAGTACTTTAAATACATGAGTATTTAAAGTAGCCAGCCACTAAAATACTTTAAATACATGAGTATTTAAAGTATCCACTAAAATACTTTAAATACATGAGTATTTAAAGTATCTCTTTGCTCTACTTGCTTAAATTAATAATTAATAAGCAAACACAAATCTTGCAAAAGGGAG